GTTTCCTGTTAGTTCTATTAGTTTTTCACTCTAATCAAAGAATTCATCGAATGTAAAGAATACAAGGCTTGTCTGATCCAAGCTCACCTTAGCCCTCTCCATAGATGTTTGAAAACGTATTGATTTACTTCTGTGAGTTTGCATACTTTCCAGACTTTAAAATCACCGTCTTTAGTTCTAATTAAACACTTTGTTTCTCTTGGTTGAGTAAATCAGAAGTTCTTTCATTACGTCAAACACAAAGACAATAACTTTCAAGTATATATATGAAAGATCTATTTCATTAGATTTCGTTCTTTTTGTGACAATAGGAATTATCAGAACATTAGTTTTGTATGCAAACATCGATGCTCACGTTTCTGGCCATGAAGGTTATCTTCATCCAATGATCAAGAAGTTGATCTGCCTTGAAAAGACACTTCATAGGCAGTTCTAGATAATAGCCCTTTATTAAACTTTGGTCTCCCTCAGAATTTCAATTAGTTGGCGACAAAAGGAAGAGCTACATATAGTTATCTTTAAAGACTGACTTTGTTTTTGACATCTGTAATCTGACGGTTTTTTCTTTGCTTGTTCGTTTTTTCCAGATCTGCGAGGGATGCACTTGAAATCATTGCACTTGATAAATGGGAGATTCTTCCTGAGGAAATAGAATACGAAGAGGAGCTGGGCCGAGGCGCCTTTGGTGTGGTCTATAAGGCCACTCTTAAGAAACGACAAGGAATTGAAATTTTTTACCCTGTCGAAAAGGTGCACCAAAATAACACAATCCAGGTGGTAGCCGTCAAAGAACTCCAAGGTACTCTAAAATCCTACTAAAACTTTTAAGATGGTTTTTGTATCAAAATTCTTTTTTTCTACTTCTGGTTTACTTCATCTCATACATAGCTGAGACATCCAAATTTGTGTAAATTAGGTGATAGTTTTTGCAATGTAGACTTAACATATGTGAAAGCACCTTATCAATTTGGTTAGTAGATAAAAAAGGAAACTTTCCATAACGAATCCAAGATACATGTCTAATCTTGAGATTATGAAACTAAATTTCATTAGCCTTATTTACAAAATTTTTTTTTATCCATTTTCAACGACCTTTGATTAACCAAAATTGAACCTTGTTGGTCCTTTAACACAGAATGTATGATATAAACATTTTAAGGCCGTCACGTCTCGAAAAGGGAAATCCACGAAATAAAAATGTTTTAAGAATTTGTACCTCGATGTTTTCCCTAGTTGATTCAAGCGAGGAGCAAGTGTTAGACTTTCTTAATGAAATATCCCAGATGAAGTTGTTAGCTGCACACCCGAATATTGTGTCTCTTGTTGGATGCTCCACACTGGGCAAGCACAAATTCCTGGTGTTGGAGTATGTTCCCTATGGTGACTTGTTAGAGTGGTTACGAAAGAAAAGGCAATCGGTGAGGAAAATGATAACATTTTCATGCAGTAAAATACAAATTCAGTTACTTAAACTAGAATTTTCAGTAGCAATTATATTTTACTATTAGGGACCAGTAAAATTTTCCAGCTCGCTCCCAAAATATGGTTTCGTAGCTCATTTGCTGGAGGCGGACCAACAAGTATACGGAAGTCATGGATTCAGGCCCATAAAATTTTTTCCAAGCTTATAATTTTAGAACTCCTTTAATTTTCGTCTTTGTACGAGGATTAGAAGATTGAAGGTCAAATTATGGTCTTTTTCAGTCATAACTCTGACTAACTTTTGCTTCTTCAAATGATATGGTCTTTCAAAGCCTATTTTTCCCCTTTTCTCACTCATCCTTTTGATGTAGTCTGATCCAGCTGCACTCTTCAGCCCCCTTCCCCTACATGAAGAAAAACACAACAACTACAACAACAACAAAATTCGACATAATCTTGTGTTACGTTCACATTTCACTCATAAACAAATGCAATCGCGGTTGAATTCATAGTTAAAATCCAAAGAGACAGATAAGTACGTGACTGTGCATAGGTTTGAGATGTTCGGGGTAGCTATGACATGTACTTGACGCAGGGCTTGATATCGTATTAAAAAAACATTACATTTTGAAAGTTGCCCATTAGTTTTTGTTTTTCTTCCACTCTCTTCTCGTGCAATCCTCTGATTTTTCAAAAAACTTGTACTCATCGTACTTTAGATCAATCAGTATCTGGCCACAGAAGAAAAAGGAGCAGAGAATTCTTACGAGGAAAGAGAACCACAGAGCAATCAATGCCAAGTGAGTAGGTCTAGCAAAAAATTAAAAATGCGCTCATTAAATCTATAGTATATTGGAAATGTGCGTAAAAGTGTAACTGATGGAGAAAAAATTAGGTAAAAAGGAAAATTTGCAAATGAGAAACAAAATATCCAGTTTAGTAAGCCTCCAGCGATGCTTACTGTTCGTTTGATATTTGTATAGTTATACACTCTTTCCATAACACTCAAAAGCGGGATCTATGTTCTGCCCCTCAGGTCCCGATGAAAACCTTTCAATAAACTGGTCACATGTCTGTTTTTCTTCTCTCTCTTTCGTTTTTCTATATCTATTGATTCAGCAGCAAGGGAAAATAAAGCCATCCCAATTGGTTTCAACTGAGACTACAGAACAAGGCAAAGTAGAAGAGAATGACTTTTCCACAAGACAACTGCTTTCTTTTGCCGCGCAAGTAGCAAGAGGAATGGTATCATTAACTCTTTAAATGATATTTCAAACTATTTCATCGGAGAGGAGGGAGGGGGGAAGGGGGGAGGGGAAGTCAGGAAGGAGGCGAAAGGCACTTTCTGCTTAAAATTCCCGTGAACCGCTGAGACCTTAAGTTTACCTCTTAGGGCGGATAACGGCGCATTACAATGTTAAGGAAAATATTTTAACAGCAGACTGTAGTAGAAAAATTTGAAGTAAATTTAGCGTCTGTGCTGTTTTTCGTACGAAAGCATTCCCGAAAAAAATATGAAAAGAAATGACATTAAAATGTTGCACCGTAGCGATGTACAAAGGGCACTGCCAGAGAGAATGTATTTCAAGTTTATTTCTCAAATCCGCTGAATATCCTTGCGATATGAAAAGTCAGTTGTGAAGATCAAATGAAAGTTAAAAAAAGAAAAGGATGCATTCAGATTTTTCAAAATCGCGTCAATGTTAAATAGTTTTTAAAAGCAGTTTACCATTTTTTGTTTTTGCATTCCCTAGAACCATCTTGCCGACAGAGGTTTTGTTCATCGTGACCTTGCAGCCCGTAATGTTCTGGTTGGTGATGATGATCGAGTGAAAGTGTCAGATTTTGGGCTGATGCGTCAACTATATGAGGACGTTTACACCATCAAAAAGACAAAGAAACTCCCCATCAAATGGATGGCTCCAGAATCGATCTATTACAGTGTTTTTACCACCAAAAGTGATGTGTAGGTGTATGTTCCTGCGTAATGTTTTTTTTCCAAATAATTTTTTTTCCTTAAAAATTATCAGGTGTGTAAGATTGAACTAGAATTAAGACTAGAATTAAGGATGAATAATGCAAAACAGGCAAAAACAACAACAACAACAACAACAACAGCAAAACAAAAGAAAAAACAAAACTAAAAGAGGCAAAAATTTATTCGACCAATCGTAGAATTAATTGGAAAGACATTTCTTTCTTTGAATTAGAAGCATTATCGTATTCTTCTAAATGAATAAAGGCTGATAGTTTCTAAAGAAACTGTTAGGCGCTGCGTCGGTGGGGGTAACGAAATAATTTGAATATATCAACAATGTTGAAATGGTAAATTGGCCACCGTTACGGTTATAAAAGCTGATGTTTCGAACGAAGGGCTAACGCTCGAAACGCAAGCTTTTATAACCGTAGCGGTGGCCAATTTACCATTTCAACTTTGTTGATATATTCAATGTATTCTTCTAAAGATACCTTTTTTTTTTTTACACAGATGGTCCTATGGGGTGCTTTTATGGGAAATGGCCACAATGGGTAAATTCTCTTTGATTTCTCAGCTTCTGTATTTCAGTATGTCTGTCCATTTCGAACCGGCTGATTTTTTTCTCATCATGACAAATAAAGCCATCTTGTTGTAATGAAATGCAGCGTAAAGGTAAAAGCTTATTTCATACAATTGTGTTATTTGTTCTAAGCATTGCAAGTACTTATATGACATTGGTATTTCTTGCTTTTAAGAGAAAATAATTTCCCATGGTTTTCTCTCGCTGCTTTGTATCAAACTTGCCGTAAGTGCATTATTTTAGAACCTTTTACCATTATGCTTATATAAAAAGAGATCGAGACCGTGTCGTGTGCTTAGTAAAATCAACGAAGAATTCGGCATCCTTTACATAGCTTTACTGAAAACCTTTTGCTTCAGTAACAGGTGGATTTGTTTACTTTGCATTTCTGGAATGATTTTCGTCTATTCTACACAGGAGGAGTTCCCTACCCAACGCTAACTAATTCACAATTGTGTAAGCTACTAAGGACAGGTTATCTTATGGGAAGGCCTGACATGTGCTCTGATGAAGTGTAAGTAGCATGACTGTGCGACAGTCTCCAGCATTTTGAGGGAAGATTTTTTTTAAAAAATCATTTTTATATTTGCCTTTGTCTTGATTAATTGTGTTTGCTCTTACTATGACTGATTGTATTCCCTCGGTTGCTCATTTGTCTTTTTAGTCTTTTTCTTTTGTTTTTCAATTTTTTTTTGGGTTTTGCCTTTATCTTGTCTTAATTCACTTTTTTCGCTCAGTTACTTTGCTGACATTCACACCTCTCGCAGACAAGACCTTTTTAAATTTGATTGACTAACAACTGCTTGTTTGACTCTGATGATGAATTCCGCTTAGCTTATTCAAGCTTCGGTAACTGTCACCCATAAAGTCCTTCAGAAATATTTTCACCCGGACGATAAGACAAAAAGATCAACTGGCACTCCTGAAATCAAGGAAACTAGTCAATCTGCGATGAAACTCAATCACAATGGCTTTTTCCACTTTTAAAGTTCTATATATTATTTATTTTAATCCAGCAAAGTGTAATCCATATAAAGATTCTTTTCCTATCCGAATCGTACTGGACTGGAATAGTCTACCAGGATCTGTTGTTTAGGCTGGGAGCCAGGGCCGTAGCTAGCATGGGGCAAGACGAGGCAATTGCCTCGTCTTAATTTTGGCCTTTTTTAATGTTTTTCTTAAAGATTGACTTTTCTGAAGAAAAATGCCACGGAAAATCCTTAAAAGAGCATTTCTAAACCTCTAGATTTCAAAGTTTTCTGGGGGGCATGCCCCAGACCCCTCTAGCGGGTCGCGCCTTCGGCGCTTGAAACTAGCCTCGTTTTGTCCTGAAATAGGGCTACAGCCCTGGGAGCCTGAGCCTGTTTTTATCTTTTACTGAAGTTAAGGAAACATCATAGGGTCAACCTCTAGTTTTTCTTAGTAAGATGATTTTTTAACTTTTGTTTTTTTATCTTGAATAATACGTCATTTCTTGTTCCTGTTTTAGATATGATTTGATGACTGAATGCTGGAGGGAAGATCCAACAACTCGCCCCAGTTTCTCTGGGTTGATTGGCAGACTGGAGGAGATAATGACCAAGGACGTACCATATTGCGACTTGAACAATTACGATGAAACAAGTCCATGGTACAGTGCTGCCCTTGAGACTTCCGAGGAAACGGAATAAACACATTAGAAAATTCGTTAGAGCTTAAAGGATCCAAGTCAACCGCACCTTTGTTTTTTGTTTACATTTCTGAAGGTGGGAGTGTTTTAAAATCGCTTGCAAATGGCAGGAGTCATGCAGGCCCGTAAACACTTCAAGTTTTAAGCTTTCATGCAACAAAATCTCTGAAAATTGGCTATTAGCTAGATTTTTAATGCTATGACTATCCTTCCCGTCATTCCACAGGTTGAAGTTTTTCGTTTGATCTACGGCTTTAGGCCTTCCGTGTGAAGGACTCGCGAGAGCCATTGACGGTCCCAGTTACAAACAAATATTTCGCGAGAAAAAATGCGAGAAACCTTTAAAAAAATTTAACTACTCAGAATAAACCACTGATAATGAAGTTTTTTGCACGATTAAAACAAACTTCTGCTTCTTTTTTTCCGATCTCATCCAAATAAACGGTTACAACAACAGAGAGAGAAAACAAAATACATTAGTATATATATATATATATGCTAATTCCTAAGAAAGAAAGTTTGAATAACAAAAGGAAAGGAAACACCTAGACCAATCATAGTTCAAATTAACTATTCCTGTGAAATATTTCAAATTTAAAATAACAACGGCAAACATAATATGCATAATAACAACAGATAATGTAAGAAAACTGCCACGATATTTTAAGGACCCTTTAAGGACCCATCAGTATATTTGAATTACTCGGATCACTTGGATGATAGATCAAGATGGAAATTTGGATAGTATAGAAAATGGTGGATTAAGAGGCTGTCCACGAGAAAACCATGCAAACCATGCAGAAGGTGCTACAGGCTAGAACACAGAATTGGATCATATTCTGTGGGTAAGTAAGTGTACTTGGGTGCACTATTTTCAAATATGTAATGATTGGGGTCCAAGCTCCTTTTCTTTGTGTATACGAGGGGGGGTCCCCTCGGGAGATCATTTTTACTGTTATAGAAGGCCGAAATTTCCTGTAGTTTAGATGTCTCGGTCATCAATAATTTACGACGTGAGTGATAAATGAGTAACCGGCGGTCTAACTGAATGATTTAACTTCGAATACACGTATAAACCAGAAAGATTGAGGCTTTTTACTTCTCGTGATCGTGTACTAACCAAAGGACAGTTCAACGTTTTTCTGGATGTTAGAAAAATATTGCATTTTTAAAATTATTTCTAAAATTTATCGCAAACCTTACAAGAAATCTAATATAGGTTCTGTTAAGAGAATAACCTAGAGTTTTTTTGTACGCTTTTTAAATTATGGACACTTCAGCCTCGGAACTATGACAAAATATGAGCCAACACAATCGTTTTATTAAAAATTGCCAATAAATATACGGAACAGGATACTTAATTGATCGCTCAAAAACACAACATGACACTTGAAAAACATACCTCTGTGGCTGAGAAAGGCTAAAGGGAATAGTTTTCCCGTTGTGATCCCTGTAAAAAATCTTCTCTCTTCGACGAAATGATGTTACTTCGTCGTGTAGCTCGATAAGTCATAACCTGTCTCGTTAATATTTTCCCGCTATTAGAACGATCAAAAGTAACTTTCGTTTCCAAAAATGCTATTTCTTTTGCTTGAAGGACGGAAAATATCTTTTTCGAGTGTCTTCATGCGTCTTATAATGGGGTAGAAACTACGACTTAAAAACATTTGTTGATAGTGTTCTACTTACCACCATCTTTGCTTCGAGCCCGCGAACCAAGAGGTCTGCGATTTTTCCCTATGTAGATTGCTTTGGCCGGAAAGCGCGAAAGTTCAGTACAGCTGTAAGAACATTTGAATTCATACACGAAGTTGCTAACCTATATTGTACAAGACAGGGTCAGATGCTGGCTTAAAATTTTCTTCTATGGCTGCAAGTCTAACTTGCTCGTTTTCGAAACACTCGTCGATATCATGTGGCAATTCGAAGCACAATCGTAACATCAAAGAGTACTTAGCACTCCGTAGTTACAGGAGAGATATAACCAGTCAACTTCAACGGTTGAAAACATCTCAAGCAAACATCAAAGGTGAATGGCAGCTGATACTTTTGAGAGCTGGGTTATTTGATGAAGATGGTGAAACGATCACAATCCGCCCCCTGCACAGAGATATTTTTGGCACTATCTAGAATTGGAGTAGATCAGTTACAAAATGCTATCATCCACTTCATGTCCGAAACAGGGCTAAGCCTGAAAGAGGGATTTTGTTGGACATTTCCAAAGAGATTCAAGTTTACTGGGGAGTTCTTGTTTTTTAAATTCTAGGTATATACATTAAGTGCAGAAATTACATTTAGAAGAAAGAGGGAACAGAGAAACACAAATACTTCAGGTTTATATTAATCTCAAAAGTGGTTCAGTTAGTCACACGAATTCAATAATTCAGCAAAGTCTGAATTACTGATTGACGGAGTTTATCGGCTCAGCTCCTTGTGCTTGTGGTAGGGTAGATCCAGTTGTTCGCCAGTTGAATATACCTTGGAAGGACGCTGCACCAAGCACACAACCGGATATTACAGACAGAAGGAAAAGAGATCGTTGAAATGGCTTTGCATTGCCTTACTCCGGGGCAAGCCATAGAATTACTTTCAGAGTTGATGAATTATACGGAGAAAAGAGAGAGGCAAAAGAGTGCAGTTATTAGTGTTAGCGAAATATCGCGCCTGATTAAATTGTACAAAGAGGCCAACAGTCGGTTTACTAAAAGGCAAATCCTGTCAGTATTTGTAAACGATTACACTAAAGCACAACTTCAGCTGCTTATTCCTGGATTAAGCATTTGGAGTGTAGATGAGGCAAGAAGGAATGCCGCTAAGGTGGGGGGTTGGTAAGCCAGTGACACAGATGGAGACCACTTCACTCGCAAGACTGGACTCAAGCAAAGTAGACCATTTTCTGTAATAATAATAATAATAATAATAATAATAATAATAATAATAAAGAGTATTTCTATAGCGCACATGGCGCTTGACAACAAATGAAAATAAATTATAAACAAACTACATTTACTAACATTCACTAAGAAACATTTTAAAAAGACAATTTTTCAAAACGCTTTTAAAAATTTCAACATAAGAACTCCGTACGTATTGAAAAAGGCGAAGAGTTCCACAATCTAGGAGCACATAATGCAAACGATCGATCTCCATAACTTCGCATTTGTGAAGATGGCTCTACAAGGTCGTCAGATCGCAAAGAATAAGAGCTCCTACGATAAGTTAAAAGATCAGACAAATACGACGGGGCCTTACCATTAAGAGATTTATAAACTAAAAGAAGAATGTTAGAAACAATACGATGCCTAATGGGAAGCCAATGCAGATCAATTAAAGTCGGAGTAATATGGTCGAACTTCCTAGTCTTACAAACTAGACGCGCAGCAGAGTTCTGAACAGATTGTAGTTTAGCAATAAGGAACTTAGGAAGTCCATAAAGTAGAGAGTTACAATAGTCAAGTTTAGAGGTGACAAAAGCATGAACAACCATTTCAGTGGTTTCGCGGGTCAAATACTTTCTAATTCTCGAAATACTCCTAAGACGATAAAAGGAAGACTTGTAAACATCAGAAATATGTGATTTAAAAGACATAGTATCATCGAAGAGAACGCCAAGATTGGAAGCGGCTTTCACTGGAGCAACATCAACATCCCCAACACCGAGACAGGACAGCGACAGACAGGACAGGAACGATAACTGGAGTGAATAACCAATAATTCAGTCTTGTCTTGATTAAGTTTCAATTCATTGAAAACCATCCACCAACAGATGTCATTCATACAAGCCTCGAGCTGCAGCTGCAGCTCTACATTTTATCAGCAGACCAAATTTCGTACGGAACAAAAACGCTGAGGAGAAGTTAGAGATTCCAAACGTGGTTAGGACAGTTATTGCTTCAAGGATTGTGGACTTATACCAGCAGTACTGTCAAACCGGTTTATTTTCCCTTGGGAGGTCAACCCTCTTTAGTATTTTACAGGTACGTATGAAAACATAATCCTGATTCAAAATCAGAAGAAGAGCGAAAGAAGAAAGAAAACTTTTAGGGTTTTTATACTCTTTTAACTCACGTAAATGATATCACGAAGAAATCATTATATGCATTGTGTCATGTTTCTTAGTTTAAACTACCTCTTCGGCTTGCTTAACTGAAAATTACTTAAGGCAGATTAAGGTGGGGATTTCAAAGAGCAAAAGCTGGGGATGAGAAAGGCAGAGAAATATGAACACGAAGAGGAAAATATAACAAAATGTCATTATTGTATAAATTTGTGCAACATCACAAAAGCAGTCTTTGGCAGGACTTGACAACGTCGCTACAGAGAGATCGAAAGCCTTCGATACACTCGAAGACGTAGTAAACAGGCCAGGAAAGTTAGGCAAGCTCAGATTAATGTAAGTTTTGTCCCCGAGAGGGCTGTATCTTCCCATCGTGTTTCTATATAATGCTATTTTTCAGTGTACCTTTAACACTCAAACTGCCCAACCTCCTAGGCCGATTTAATTTTTCGAATTTTTATTTCTTCTTTAAGGTTTGTCGAGACCACTTTTTTAAAGGATATATTTGTGCAATTTTAACAAACGCCTGGCCTCTTAAAGCAATTGAGCATGTATGAGAGGCTTTATCTTAAATATTTGTAAATAAAAGAAAATGAGTGGTAACATTAGCATGTCTTTTTAAAGATAAATGATCAGCCTGGGTTCAAGATGTTAAAGATCGCTTGAAAGCTGGCAAAGCTGGTAAAAAATACCTTAAAACAAACCTCCAGATCCACGTTACTGAAGAAAACCAGCGTGCTGATCATTGCTGGATATTTGGGTTCACGTCTGACCCTGAAGATCATCACTGTGAGCATGAGCACACGAAGTCATGTCAAAGCTGCAACAATATCCAGAATGTTCTTCATGAATTAGAACTGGTATTGTCATCAAGAGACCTTCACTTTAGGTGAACGATTATTGATACCATGTTCCTATAGTCTTCCTCTTTCAAAACCACAGAGAAAACGTCGATTATGTAAACTTACTTCATAAGAAGTCGTTTTCGTCGACTTGGAAAGATTAGTAAGGTATTTAAACTGTAGTCAAAACCTTAGAAAGAAGAAGAACTTGCTTGCTGTTGCATATGTTTATGTGAGCACGCTTACGGAAATAAAGAGGAAGTCACCCTGAGATTTTCGAGGCGTTTGCACGTCATGTAGTGATAACGCTGGATGTTATCACTGTGCTCTTTTGTTGCTAAGTATTCATTGGTATCAGTCAACGTACAGGTGTAACTACAAGCCGATACGACTTCAGTGAATCAAATAGTGGCAAAGATATATGCAATCACCGTATTTGTCCTTTGAAAAGTCATATACGCCAGTGCGTCAATGTAGGAAATGATGTTGAGAAGGCAGAAGATATGAAGAAAGCAATAGATTCTTACTCCAGAGTTAGAATTTGCCGTGCATCAGTTGTAAAGGTGAACACTAGCGCACAGGATCTGCATAATGGTGGAGAAGGAAAGTTCGTTCGTTACGATAAGCTGATGAAGAGGGAGACCAGCCATAGAAGTATCCGATTGGAGGTCATTGAGCCGTTCACATCTTCGCATGTGTCAACTGGCTTATTGTACAAAAATGGTAAATCCAAGGAAAACAAAAGTGAACATTATGAATTCAGTTGCTCTCAAGCAGGTTGCATCAAGTTATTCGAAACGACCGCAGCTTTGCAAAACCACCAGGACTTTGGCAAGCACATTTTTCACACTCGAAAGGATTCCATGCATGACAGTATTAAGCGTAAGTGGACTAAAGCATGCATCAAAATACGGCCTTCGTATATTCGATGTAAAAAAGAACCTTGAAGGATCTAGCCAAGAAGAGCGAGTGTAGGGAGTACCCCACCGCGAGCCTGGTTGGGCCTTGAAGAAAAATAAGAAGACCGGGCGATTTTCAGAATATGTCAAAGAGTACCCCCTTAACTTGTTCTCGATGGATAAGAGAGAGGAAAGAAGAGCGGCCCTGCCGTTGTTGCCTCAAACTTGAAGTCACTTCGTGGACCAGATGGCGTAAGATTGTTTTCTTTTAGAGACTGGCTCAGCGTGCAACAAGTTACATCATACTTTTCACGTCTCGCATCGGTCGCTTAGAGTGGGAAGCTTTCTTTAAAAAAGAAGACTGTGTTAGAGGAAGAAGATATATTCGATGCCCTTGTTGAGAGAGGAGAACTAGAGTCCATGCGAGAGAAAATTTTTCAGGCTGTGAACTTATAGAAGGAACTTTCAGACCGTCGAGAAAAAGATGGAGCGGAGCTAATAAGCCAGCTAAAGCGGAGATACTTGTTACCAATGCTCGTTGTCACGCGTGCTCTCCAAGGGCACTCCATAAGAATAACCACATTTTTCTGAAATTTCGTCCCATCTCCACACACGGGGCTTTGCGACCAATTTTCAGATCTACTTCTTTTTACGTTATGTGATATTGGAAGATGTCTTGGCTCTTAATCATTGTATACAACGAAGAGCTCTTTACATATGATGCACGATCCTCGCAGTAGATAGCGCTATTTAAGCAATAGCGAAAATCAGACCTGAAAAAAATCAGGCCTGTACGGGACTCGAACCACTGACCTCTGCGATACTAGTGCAGCGCTCTACCAATTGAGCTGACAAGCCAACTGGGAGCAGGCCGTTAAGTTGATTCGTAATAAACCCGTGAAAGTGATAATTTATCGCTTTCACGGGTCAGTGGTTCGAGTCCCGTACAGGCCTGATTTTTTTCAGGTCTGATTTTCGCTATTGCTTAAATAGCGCTATCTACTGCGAGGATCGTGCATCATATGTATCTAATACCGCAGTACAAAATATATGAACTTCATATATTTCATTGTATCTCGAAGAGCTCTTTGTATCACCCTATAATGCTATGAAATAAATTTAAGAAAAGCTTGCCCTTTGCCAGACAATGCAAAAATACGAAATTTGTAAATGACATCAAAGCAAACCGTCTTCGAAAGCATCCAGCAAAAGAACACTTACCGTTGATTACACAAATCACTTTTTTACCGCAGGTCAGTTTCTCACTGCAGGTGCATGAGGCAATATGGCGGATAAAAAGTGAAAGAGTCGTGGTTGAGTTATGGCCGTTCTGTCGTAATCTTTATGTTGTCAATTTAAATATGAAAATGGGCATTAGAGTACTGGCCTTCTCAACAACACCAAATCTGAGGAATAAGTCGCAGCTTGTGTTTTATCGCAGCTCTCAGTCTTTCCGAACGGCAACGGAATGTGCACTTTTGGACGTTTTTATGGCAGATATAATCCCGTGGAAACGTAACAATGTACAGAGGAGGTTAGAATCTCATATTGAGAAGTTTTTCTTGCAATTTATTTCAAAAGTACCCAGGAAATGTAACCAATCGTCATGAATTGTAATATTATCTTAAGTCAGTAATACGATCGGTGAGCAACTGGTGACCAGTAAAACCTCCGTATTTCTCTCAAACTATTGCGATACCCAGAAGTTTTTTATAGTAGAGGAAAAGACAATACCTCTGCGTAAAGTATCAAGTATTTCGTTTTACATCAGGCTCTGCGAGAACTTTTTAACTTTTTTTTGAAAACTCAAGAAATCTGCACAATTTTTACTCATTAGCATATGTCACGTTAAATAATGCTATGGAAAATGTAATAAAGAAGAGTCACACTAATTATGTTGTTATTGTTCAAGAGTGTATACTTGGTAGTTTGTGAGAATTTTGTTTCACCTGGATTGCTGTAAAATTTGCCAGAAATGTTGTCATTGAAAAAAAGCAGAAAATTTGAACATATTTTAGTGCAGATTTGGCTGTTCAAGGGTACCCCTCTGAAAAAAAAGAAAAGAAAGAAGCTTGAACAAAACTAATACCATATCTACCAATACTTCACCAAGTTATGCCTATGTGGAAAGTTTTAGCTAATTCTGTGATGTGAACTGTAGCACCTTTTGCATGGTTTTCTCATGGATAGCCTCTTAAGCCTACAATGTCTTGTGGTTGACTAGGATCCTTTAAGCCAATTTAGAAAGATTCAGTTTGCCAACATTCGGTGGCGTAATTGTCAAGAAGGAAATTAGTTGGCAAAGAAATTGACAAAGATGACTAGTTTGACGAGCTGATTTAGATAATTTATGGTTTTTGAAAACAGAGATCACATGAAAAAGGAATTCGGAAACTTACGCATTGAAACGAGCAGTGACGCCATAGAACTGACTCATGACTCCTAGAAGGTTAGGACAAAACCGTTTGTTATTTGAGTGCCCGTAATTTACTGTTCTTTGTTTTCCATTTGTTTTGCTTTGTTTCGTTTTTGGTTTGTTGAAGGCAGTCGTGTTTTATTCTTTAAACAAGTCTTCCTGTAGCTGCATGACATACCATAAATCAATGTTAATGTACTTTGCGTTTGTAATACATTTTGTGGCATAACTCATTGCTCCACTTTCCTAACTGGAGTGTAAACAAGACGCTGTAATGATTCCAAGACTCTTAGAAACATATCTTGTGATTGTTGTATGAAAACCCTCCCAAAGTTTTCAAGGAAAGGCGTTATTGAAAGCTTTCGAATCAGGAAGACAGACATAGGCTCGACTTCCGCCTCCCTCCCGAGTTCCGGCTGGTTAATAAGCTTTAGAAAACCAAACACGCATAAGAGCTAAGACTTTGCTCTACAGAAGACGACCTAGATTAATCTTAGACTGCATGAACGATGTACAGAGAGTAATAAAAAAATAAAATTCACGTTAAGTCTTCAAATGTGAATCCATATAAACCTTCGAGCCCGTGGCACACTGGTGTGGAACCTGTTTAATACCCTTAGAAAGTGGAATCGAGGGAAGGTGAGGTCGAGTGATAAATGAAGATTGTGGTTGTCAAGGAAGCGACGTTAGCTGATCCACACTGTTTTTCGTGTCCGCTTATTTACTCGATTCCACTAAACGAGAGTCCAGCCCATTCCAGCGGATTTGAAAAGGAAATATCGGGAATTATCATCTCGAGTATACGATACCCATTGTACTATTGCCGTAAATGAATTATAAATTTTCAAAACAATAACGCGTGAGGTATGCTAAAGTAAAGATTAAATTTAGATTCAGTCCTTTTTGATGCGAGAATAAGACAAAAGACCGATTCATTGACGGGAAAATTCGTTCTTTTACGAGTCGCAAAACATCTGGGGTCTGTGGAGGTTTATTTATGGCAGCCATTGTAATAAACATAGCAAAGAATGGCAAATACATTGCGGAATTTGGCTGAAAGGTTCTTTAACGTTTCTTAATCAGCTCAGTGAGATTGGAATTGTTTAATATGTTTACATGACCTTACGGGTGCTTGAATGACAGATATGTTGTTTGAAAGCGGATTTATGTGAAAAGTGACAACAAAGTGCAAAAGGAATGCTATCTCACAACACAACACAACAGTGTCTGTTATAAAGGAGTTTACCTGAATGGAAAAGCTTCACTGCACTGACGTATTCCGTTTGTTGTGGCATTTATTGCTGAGGCACTCCCGGAGAAAGATGACACTTGGATAATGAACACGACGACTTCTCCTTTGAGTTGGACATGCCAAAATACTACAGATCTGAATCGAGTGAGGGCGACTATAACTTGTACTCACAACATGAAGGGACTGAAAATAGTCCTCGCGAAATCTTTATTCGTCGTTATATGTTGTAATTTGATCAAAGGTGAGTGACAAATGAAAGAAATTCGCAAGACGAAAGGGAAAAATTACGTCTTACCGTAGCAAAAACGTCATTTCTTGTCTTAGCTCTGAATGCTCGTGTCTTGATCTTTTGTGATGTATGTCTTGCATAAGATACGTTCCAGTAAAGTATAAACTAATGCGGAATTTGAGAAACAAGGCAACATTGTTGGAAATAAGGTTTTCTTTTGCAATATCTTAGATGGAAAATTTGGCCGTGCATTTTCCAATGAGAATAGTTAACTCTGTTGTATGATAGCGAAGATTCTACTTGCGTTACGTGACCCAATGGTATTATATTTCGTAGCAAAAGCCATCTGTCAACATTCTCAAGCTTTTTCACAGAAAAAAGTCAATAGGGTCTAGGCTGTAGTTTGTTCGTCTTAAAAGGTTTAACATTGAAATTTTAATTTCAAATTTCAACTCGTGTTTTCTTTTAGTACTCTCCATCTTTAGCAACCACTGAGCCATCTTGGCTACCCTGTTTGTTTTTTTCGTTTATAAAATTTACTGAACTAGAGTTTCCGAAAAAATTGGAAGAGCGAGAAAAACGGTACCAAACATAACTACACAGTTCTTTTGTAATTTGCAAATGAAAAAAAAAAAAAAAAATCTCCTATTATTTGGCAAAAAGTTTTCGTAAACGGTAACTATCAATGTTTCTCGGACTCCATGAAATATTTCTTTAGCCATTACTAGAAAAGCGCCTGTGACTTCTAGTACCTCGTTTTAATTTTGAGCTCCTTCTGATTGTGGAATATCTGGCAATGTATAAATATATCCAAATTTCCCAGACATTCTCCACTGAGGCTGAAGACAAGGAAATAATTATTCTAATACATTTCACGTTATTTGAATGAATCTTCTATCATCGATGACATTTACATCGATAACTCTCTTTGTAGTTTCGTCTGATGACTTGAAGGTTTTAACGATTGGTTCGTACGCACCCTTGAGCGGTCCTTGCTGGGGCGGTGGATTGGCGGTCAAGTTGGTAATGTAATTAGCTCTGGATCAAATCAATAACCGAACAGATATCTTACCTGGATATAGACTGGAGATGGCACTGAACGACACAAAGGTCCGTATCAAAATGCTGTATTCCCTGACCCATTAAAGCACTTTTAAATCAAGTATCGCAGTAATTGCAATATATATATATATATATATATATTGCAATTACTAGATATATATATATCCCACAGGTGATTCGAGCTTTTCGCGCGCGCTGATTGACTCGTTCGGAAGTGAATAGCTAGTACTATCCACCTCTGAGCAGCCGATAATAATAATAATAATAATAAATAAATCATTGGACTTATATAGCGCCATATCCGACTGCTCTATGGTGCTTTACAATACTGAGTTAAAAAGATAATGACTACAATTGAGTAAAGACAAAATAATTAAGACAAACAATGACTTAAAATCACAAAATATTTGACAAAAGTTTTGCCGATGTGACAAAATCGTGCGCCAATAGTTTAATTTCCGACCATTTTTCGGTTTGTAGAAAGAAATGAACTAATTTTATCCCATGTTGTGGTATATAAAATTAAAAACAAATTAAAAAAAAAATAAACAATTATTGACTTCAATGTCGTTGAAAATGGTGGGTGCTTACCTTGCCACTTCGCGGCTCGGTGAAATGAATGCAAATAACTGCCTAAAATTTTTTTCCTGTTACCGTAGGTCGTGTAAGTATATGTAGCGCAGCATATTTGGAGCATGCAAAGATAAAACCTTTGCATGCCGGTGAATCAAATTGTCTTATGGGGGTATCTTTAGACAAAGCTATTGTATCTTATGAATCGAGTTTGACAATTGCAGTGTGACCCTGGAGTCGGAATGCATATTCTATACGACCACATCTACAAAGAGCCGAAGAAAATAATGCTTCTCGGGGCAGCTTTCTCTCCAGTTTCTCAGCCGATAGCTGACACCGCAAAATATTGGAATTTAGTACAGGTAGTCTTTGAACACATCTTGAACTGTAAACAATGTATACTAAAAGCTTTTAAACAAACTAACCGAGACCATCACAGGATACAGTTTTTGCTTTAGCAGAAATCTACTAGCAGTATATTACAAATGCTGAAATCTGATTGGCTAGTCGACTCGTTATCTATTTAGAGATAGCGAGAAGGGTGTCTAGTCTGTGTAGCCTAACAGTGTGTGTTTAAAAAAAACAACAACAACAGCAACAAAAATAGAAAGAATAAAAAGAAAAAAACAAACTAACAGAAAAAAAAAACAAAAGCAAATAAAAGCATGAGCTTGACTTATTGTAAAGTTTTGAACGACCTGTTGAATTTTTACTCATTGATTATTCTCTCTCGGTTTCTATGCACATTAACATGATTCAGAATTCACCCTCTTCGACTGTCACGCGACAGTGACAGCTTGTAAAGTGTTTGTTAAAGAAAGTGTCTGTGTAAACTTTATGACTACTGCGGCCTAACTTGCTTATTTCCAGGTATCTTACGCGTCTACATCTCCAGCTTTAAGCAACCGTGAACGTTACCCTCGATTTTTCCGCACTATATCGTCAGACTTAGCGTTCAACCCAGCACGTGCCGCGCTCCTGTCAAAGTATGGTTGGAAACGGGTCGCTACACTACACCAGAACGAACCGTCAGGAATATTTTCACAGGTATGGCTGACCTTTCATATTCATATTTACAGCGCAAGATATGTAAATTACAGTGCAAGACAAACTATATCGTTCACGATCAGCACTTGAGAAACAGATTTGCAAAAATTTGTAACTGATAAAAAATAAATGAAACGCGATAATTGCTATCGATTAAATTATCACGAGACTCTGAGTGTAGTGTGCAAAAGTAAATGTTGTCAATTCTCTGTTTGCATTGAGCTTAATACTGCTGAATTGTTTTTAGGCCACAAAGGAACTGCATAAGCTTCTTGCTCAAATGAAGGTTGAGGTTGTAGCGGGAGAAAGCTTCACCGGGAAACCTACTCGCCAGTTAGCGAACATCAAGGTAACACAAATGATTATAAGCATCACAATGTTCTCATTTGGCTCAGTTGCCACTAACTATTTAGTAAAGTTGTTGTCCGAATGAGTAATCGGACATTGAGCTGTAACTCGTCTTTTCAGGAAATTCAATAGTAATGACAAAACGTTTTTTGACACCTCTAGGAAAAAGAAGCGAGGATTATCATCGGAAGTTTCTATGAGCCGAGTGCGAGACAGGTTTTCTGTGAGGTAATGTTGGCATTTTAGGTTTAATACGCTCAGTAAAAAAAAAAAAAAAAAAAAAAATGAAACTGCTGAGCCTGAGATCAAATTAGAAATGGAGTGTCAAAAAATATCAATTTTTCATTCGCTTAATGATAATGTCTACAGACCAGCTCAAATGAACAACTTCTCAGTTTGCAGCGTTCCTTTAGTAGCCTAATCTGCACCACTGCATTATTGTTATCCACAATCAGCGTTAAAATTAGTTGACACATCGTGTTTGAAGAGTTCTGTTTATGTGAAGGAAAACAGTTCTGTTTGTTCTACAGACCCCCCCTCTCCCATTCAATGTTGCAATTGGCTAAAAGTCGTCGTTCGCGGAATCACGAGACAACATTGTTTTTTTTTGGAGGGGGGAAAGAGTTGCTTCACGAAGGAAAATGGGATGAAACTATATCAATAGGGGGTTTAAAATATCAACGTGTCTACAATTTTGTCACCGATAGTAGTTTACATTGAATTTGTCTCCTGCCAATTAACTTTAGTCAAGATTTGAATCGAGATTGATTTTCTTGACGCAAAAACCCAGCCGAAAAGTCAGTTTAATAATTAGCTGTTTCAAAAGAGATTTGAGATTTGACCTATTTCGTAACTTTCTGGCACTTTTCATAGGTAAGTACCCATACTTCGTGTTTTTCGTTATAAGCGCGTTGGATAATATCACAGGGATTCAGTAGTGAATTCACTTTCCTACTAGGCCTATAAAAAACAAATGTTTGGCAAGCGATTCGTATGGATAATCATAGGGTGGTACGAAGACAAATGGTGGGAGAAACGACTGGATAAGGAAAATGTCGATTGCTCTCTGAGTGAAATGAGCCAGGCAGTGGAAGGATACCTTGCTACAGATCATATGAAACTTAATGAAGATGACATAACTTCTCAGAACAAGACTATATCTGGTTGGGTGAGTAATACTCTGGCGAAATAAGGAAGACTTTGAAAATAAAAGGATGTCGAAAGCAGTTTGCATATTACAATGATACTGATCTTGATGTTGCACCAATTCGGGCACTAGGATGTTTTAGATGAGCCAGCCAAAATGGACCGAGTAAGGTAAAAATGAGCCAACTCAACATTTAATCGAGTGTTAGCTAAGAATAAAGGCTGATAGTTTCGAAAGAAACTGTTTGGGGCTGCGTCGGTGGGAGTAAGGAAATAATTTGGATATATCAACAAAGTTGAAATGGTAAATTGGCCACCGTAACGATTACAAAAGCTGACGTTTCGAGCGTTAGCCCATCGTCGGAGCGAATAGAGGAATTGTGGGTTGTGTGTGCTTTTAAAGGCAGAAAAGAAGCAGAAAAGGCAGAAAAGTCAGCTAAGAAGTTGGGGAACTTTTCCTAAATTTCATTCAAGTTCGTTTCTAACTTTACTTGTCAGAATATCACGTTTACCTTTTTTATCTCCCTAGGATTTGCAGCCCAAACCGTTTTTCATCGAATTAAGATGCTATATAACTAACAATTTTTTAATACTTTTTCGTGCAATGCTGGATGTTGATTTTGCTGCATGTTTTTCTTAGACTGCTGAACAATATGCAAATGAATTCAAGCGCTTAGCGAATATAAGCGCAGTTCACGAGTCCTCTTTTGCATATGACGCGACCTGGGCAATCGCTTGGGCCTTCAACAAATCCATAAAGCGTCTTGCAGGTGGGTTTATCTTTTAGTCTCTAAGTTCCCAGCAGCACATAACTTCATAGACTTTGATTTTTCTCTTGCATTTGGTATCACAGACCGCGGGAAGTTTTTGGAAAATTTCACTTATACAGACACAGAAATGGCAGACGTGGTTCAAGAAGCACTGAACAGCACCAGCTTTTTGGGAGTTACGGTAAGGAATTAACGTAAGGTAATCCACATTTCAGAAACGGAGGGGGGGGGGAGCGGGGAGGAAACTTACCCATCCACTCTTTCACCACAGTACCCTGTAGTTCAAACCATACAATATCTGATACACATCTATGCTACATTTCTTGAAAGGCAGAATTTTCCTACACTAGGGCCTCGTGTCTTTCACAAAGAACGGAGAGAGAATTGGATACATCCAGATTGAACAGCTGCAAGGTAAGACGGTTATGACGAGAAATGCTTGTTAACTTTAGAAGTTCAGTCGAACCTGTATTTAGCGGCACCGTATTAAGCGGTCACCCTATTTTAAGTGGTCAATTACCAAAGTCCCGAACGAATTTGTTTCCTTTTTATTACGGTCATTTTCACCTCTATTTAGCAGAGTCCCGACGCTCTGTTTGTATTGTCTTCCACCTGTATTGAATGGTCAATTATAGTCAAACCACTCTAACCAAACTAAGAATGATTTCAAGTAATTTTTAACCTATATCTCTTTTCAAAAATCAAAGTAAGTGGTATTTTTAAAAGAGATTCTGCACATTAAGTGATCATAAAGTGACGTTGTGTATCATTTTATATAATCTTTGGATCCTGTATCAAAGAGCTACTGCGACGAAATTTTTGCATTTTATTTTCCCAATTTTCTCGTGTTAACTTCACATTTAGTACCTAAACTATAAGAATAAGCGTAATTTTCTCAAATTTGATAACGTTATTCCTTCAAAACAGCGCCGCGAAGACATTAAAAATTCTTCCACCATTGCTCGAATAACACACTGGAGAGCCCGCGAGAATAACTACAGCGGTTTTAGTTGTGACGTCATCGATTGACTTCGACAACGTCGCGAAAGCATGCCTTTACAAGAAATATACAAAAGAAAGCTGGGGAACAATTCTTTCGAATTTTATTCCTTCTTTCCTGCGGAACCAGAAAAACAACTCTCTCTCGGCATACCAAATTAGCCACGTTTGTTGAGTCGTTGACGTCACTTCCGTTCTCCACCCAGTCTCTTCTCCTTCGCGCGGAGTTCTGTAGTTCGAAGAATGGCGGCCGTTTAGATCGCGAACCTACAGGGAAAATAATATTACTTCTCGATGGAGTTTTGCTTTAAGATTTGGCAAATTTGTTACTTAGGGTAAGTACTTTCAACCTCTGAGGAGAAAAGAAAAGGTGCATTTTTTGTCGCAGTAGCACTTTAAGCTGTCAACCTGTATGAAACGTTCCCTGAGGGTGACTGCTTACTACAGGTTCGACTGTAAAACTATGCAAATCTTACTTAGAACGCTTTTGGCAGGCTATTGTTTGAAACTTGACCACCCCTTCAAGTTTGAAACAACTTTGGGTGACAAAGACTATCCTGTCTTAAAAAAAATCTTAATGGTACAGTAATGTTGCTTTAAGTGTGGCCTTGCAGTGGTGGACCTAAGTGAACCTTTGCCAGAAACAACGTAGTGATAAAAACACCTCAAAAGTTTCCCTAAGAAGCTATTAATCCAAACAGAAACATAGGCAAAAACATAGCAAAACAAAGTTAAAAAAAATAAACATCGAACCAACAAAAATCCAAAAGAATTTGAGGGAGCACTTACGAGAGGGAATTTGTAGTTAGAGAATAAACTTCAACTTTCATGCTGTCAATAAAAAACTAAAGATATCTTTGCAATCAAATATTTTTATTTTGACTGTTCATGAAGATGGTGAAAGCAAACGGGTTGCTGTTTACGACCCAACCACCAATTCTGTCACCATGAATAAGAGAGAACCCATCAGGTGGCAAGGTTAGATCTGAAGTCAAGTCATTACTTTATATAAGTCAATTAAATTATTTTGACGATGGAGGAGGACTGGGGAGCTGTTAAAGATCTACCCATATAAGCCGACAGGGGACCCAGTGTGTACTGCAGTTTTCACTGTGTAGCTTCTTTTTCTATGACTATTTCTTAGTCTACAAATCTTATGAACTAGATCCAAAATAATATGGCAGCAACTGATGACAAACTTGAGAGAAAAAATTTAGTCACATTGACCAAATCCTCGGAAAGCATTTCTTAAGTTTTTAATCCCTCGTGTGAGCTTGACCATACATAGCCTTAGACTGTTCTCTAATTAAGATCATAAAGAAGACTTAAGCGTGACAGAGACCTCAAGACGCAATCCATAAAACAACTAACAACTCCACTCCTGAAATCGTTGGTTTACCTTACTCATTCCAGGTTCTGGACCACCACGTGACCGTACTATCAGAGTCGATGAGCTGAAATCCATTTCAAGGGCACTCTATGGCTTCATGTCAACTTTAGCTGTACTTGGCATTTTCCTTGGACTTGTCTTTCTCTTAATAAACTTTTGGTATCGAGAAAGAAGGTAGCCATAAATGAAAGATTATTAAACAAAATATCCAGCATCAATGTCCTTCCAATGGACCCAGTTTTTCTTTGTCTCCGTATTTCAAAGCAAGTGCGCTAGACTGCCACCGGTCTATGCTATTAGGATTGTGTTAATCAAAAACGGTGGTCACCACAATTGAAAATTGAAAAGACGCCTCTGAAAACATCTTTTGTGTAAACGTTACATATCCCCAGTAGAAACAGGTTTGAATAAGCAGACAGACAGTTGTTGTTGATAGCTTACATTGTCTGAGAACAGGACACTAATCAGTTATAAGCATTAAGATGTGCGAAAATATTTCACAGGGAAAGGTTTGGCTTATTTCTCTTTCTCTTGATGGACATGGGTACGATTTACTTTTCAGGCTAATGGTATTATTTTTGTACCAACAGGATAATTAAGATGTCCAGCCCTCGGCTTAATAACGTTATCGTGGTGGGTTGTATAATGACGTATTTCTCCGTGATTCTCTTTGGATTGGACGGCGGCTTGATACCTACTGAGGAATACGGAAAAGTTTGCATTGTAAGCTTTGATATATCTTTTAATTGCTAAGGTTAGATGTAGAACAGCCTTAAAGGTGGTCAAGGTAAAGTGTGCATGCCCTCAAGACTAACCACCCACATCATATTTAAGAATAATCAGGCGGTTTACCGAGTTTAGGTTCTAACTTTCCATTTATTCTAATCCATGTCTCTTCGAGAAAGATCAGTTTTCAAAATTTCCCCCTATAATATTGTTCATTATTAAATACTGGATCATTGGATAATGCAATTCAAGACTTTTTATTGGCTCAGCCATTATGGTATATGAGCCAATAAACCATAATCTACAAATATGGTAAGCGCACGCGTCAGCTTAAAATTAAAAGGGAGCTAAAAAATTGAATAAAATTGAATAAAATTTAATTTAACGATTTTAACAAAACAACTATTCCTCTTGCGTTTGTTGGATATGAGATGATTATAGCTAACTCGGGGCTTCGCGCCTCGTTGGCTATCTATCATCTCATATCCAACGCGCGCTCTTGGAATAATTGTTAATTATACACACTAACGTTATTTATATTTAAACACGAAGGCGCGATATAAAAGAAGCCTTAGGTCCCACTGGACCATTTGCCAATCAACCGTCATGTGATGTAGAACTCTTAGAGTCAAGTCAGCTTGAGCTACAGCTACTCCAAAGCAGTGAACAGCGGGCGCATTCCTCAAAATTGTTTTATGTCTTCATCACAATACAAGAGTTTTTTAGATTTGTATTTCCTTTCTCCAATGGAAACTGTCTTTATTTGTGGCGGTAAATTTGAGATCGAAGTAGATGGTTCGCACGTTACCTCATGCCACCATGCTGGTGGAAGTAAACAATAGATATCTCATTAGCTCCTTTTGTTCGTCTACCACCATTTAAATTTGACCCGCACACGTGAACGGTGAGTGACAAATGAGCTTAGGTCTTCGCAGGGAAGACTTCCTTATATAGCGCGCCTTCGTGTTTAAAAGTTATTTTTGTGTTCTTGTCAAGGCCCGCGCTTGGATCATGTCCATTGGCTTTACTCTGGCATTTGGCGCAATGTTCGCTAAAACATGGCGTGTCCATGCTATCTTTAAAAGTTTAACTCCCAAGAAGAAGGTAAGATTCTTATCTGCCTCGGAAAGGTTCGGTCGCACCAAAGTCAAACAGAACTTACATGTATTCTTGTGAGATACAATATAAAATCATGCTCTGGGTTCATGCTTACTATTCAAATGTTTACGGCCGAGGTGAAGTCTGGGAAGTCAACAGGAATGATGACGTCGGGAGACGAGTGGGGGAAGGGTGGAGGGAAACATGGCTTATACCCTCTTACCAGCTTTCAGCAACGACGATTGCTTTTTAGCTCATGCCCCACTTCCCAGCCCCCTAATTTGAAATTACGACCCCTTCCAAGCTGGCTTCATCGGTGTGAACAGCAAAAAAAAAAAAAAAATGGTTTAAGAAACGTGACGGACTACTTTCCTATGCATTGCCTCCGTTTTTTAATCGTGATAAGAGTCGAAGATTTCTTTTTTTCCCAGGTTATTCGTGACGAGCATTTGTTCCTGATAATTGGAGCCATTGTGTTGTTAGATATTCTTCTCCTGTCTTTGTGGAGTGGGATTGAGCCAATGCACACCGGCTATCAAAGATTTATTGACGAGGTGTGGTATAGTTGTCCCACAATCTAGGGTAATTGTAGTAGAAGTAACCATATGTGAATGAGCAAATTATTCTGAAAATATTTCTTCTCATGCTCCCTGAGTCTTTATTTGCCTTTATTTATCGTCTTTACTGTCAGCATTGGAGTTCATTTAGTGAGTCGGATCGAAAGAGAAAGTGATAAAAAATTGAAAGAAAAGAAGCAACAGGAAAATAAAAAAAGAACGAGAGAAGAGGAGTAAGAGGAAGACGAAGAAGAAGGAGGCTCATTTGTGAAATTGAGATCCATTCTTTGTAGTTTGCCATACTTCAAGTGAAATTTGTCTTAGGCGCGAAAGGGTCAGAGACGATCTTCCCATACAGACGATTCAGTTTAATTTTTAATAATATGCAAGAAAAACTTACCCAGTTCTGATTGGTTAAAATAAATGCAGTTTTCAGGTAATTCATTGCAGAAGAGAGTAATTAAGTGCAGAAGAAGGTTAACTCAGTGCAAAGAAAGAGACAAACCAAACATTTTGGTTTGTCAGAATGATTGATTAATGTCAATGTCAATGTCAATGTCAATGTCAATGTCAATGTCAATGTCAATGTCAATGTCAATATATCCTATGGCTTAAGCAGGAATTGTTGAAAAGTGAGATGGGGTTAGGGTTAACCTACCCCCTTAGTTCATATTCCCACGGCGATGGTTCATATCCCCTCGCAATCTTCCAACCCCTTTAACTATTTGGCTTCCTCATAAAATATCTTCTTCTTTTATACCAAACTAGTTTAATCCAATGACCACTAGTGTGAGAAGTGTAATGGCTTAAGCATGAATAAGTCAAAAGTTAGATGGGATTAGGGTTAAGGGACCGAGAATTCAATTCGGC